ATCTTTCCTCCAGTGAGGGTGTTTCGCTCCTTTGTCGAAGATGAGATGGCTGAGTGTGTCTGGCGTTGTTTCTGCATCTTCTAATCTGTTCCACTTAACCAGTGCTTTTAGAATCATTGGTCAACCAGACTCAGTCTCTGAAGTGCCTTGAAGAGACTATGTAGTTCTGATACAAATTTGTATTTCACTGGAGTCAGAGCAATTAGCGAGTAATTAGAAAATACCTCTGTTGCTCTTGCATGAACTGTCTTTTCCAGTTACTCCTTTGAGCTATTTCTTCTTCTGGAAGAATTCTTATCTGAAGGCCATATCTAATACTTGTTTGGCTTCTAACATCTTTGCTAAAGAACCTTGATGATGCAGCTCAGTGTGTTGTTAGTGGAGTCAAACTATTCTTTATTCTTTGCTCATTTTAACCAACCATATGGTATGGATAGTTGTGGTTAATTTTTCTGTAAATATGTTGTCTTTTTGAGGAGGTAACACCCTTTTTAGGAAGTAGCAGTTGTCTTTTATTCTGAATGTTGTTCTTATAATTTAAAATCTCACCTTACTGTATTCACAAAGCTATTACTTCTCAAAGGGTTGTTCCCCTGTCTTATCCCCTTGTATTGGGAAGTTGAACTCAGGGCCTTCTCAGTGAGCTACATCCCCAGCCTTTTCAAAACAATTTTTTTTTTTTTTTTTGAAGACAGGGTTTCTTTCACTAAGTGACTAAGTTGCCCAGGCTAGGCTGAAACTTGTGCTTCTCCTGCCTCCGCCTCCTAGAACCCAATAAATTCTTTTCTGAACTTAACATGCTGTACCATAATTTATCTTTCTGTTTTGCTGAATAACTTTTAATACATCTTTTATATTCACCAAGTTCAGGAGCTATTTTTAGGAGCCTTCTTATTCAGGGTAAAGATTTTGAGAATCTTTTGATATTTGACAATTCACTAGTCAGTTTGAGATCTTGCCTTTGATTAATTGATTACTGGGCTGTGTATCTGGACTGTTTTTCTGATGCTGTTGGTACCTGTAGGATCGCATATACTCGATCTTCATGTACTTGAGATGACACAATTATTAAGTAACTCTTCAGTTATATTAGGCTATATTGAAAATCTTGTGTTTAGATTTGACCAATTTATAGCTCTCTATGTTTGATTTTTTTTCCCCCTCTTTACTGAGAATAGTATGTCCGACTTGATGAGATGTATTTTCCCATGGAAGTAGTAAATCATC